TAAAAGGATCTAGAAGAAATCATTTAAGGTAATATTTACAAGCTGAACTGTTCATTTATCCATATCATAACTGGCTGTTCCTTGGAGGTAGTTACTACAGATGTTCCTGGACAGGGGGGAAGTTTGAATTATTATTTTTTTAAGTTCCTTTAAGATAGTTCGTATTAAAAACACTATTTGAGTGGAAAACAATCTGGAAATGTTTTATGACATAGAAACAAAGTATGGAAAGTTTGTTTGTTTACTTTGTTAAATGACCGATTCCCTGGGGAGTTCTCCTTTTAGAGCCATTGTCCTTTCCAAATCAGTAGATGTCTTTCCCTTTACTTCTTAATTTCTGAACAAAGAGGAAAATGTTGGAAACCAAGTGTCCAACAAACTGCCCTGCTGCATGGAAGCCTTAGAAAAGGGGAATAAAGGGCTCTTCAGAGCTCCTCAGAGGTCTTTTGGCAGGCGTACTCTGTAGCATGCAGCCTGAGAAAACTTTCATGAGTGTTTTTGAAAGTTGCACTGTTCTCTTTCGAGTTTAGGTGATAAATAACCAGCCGCTCTAACCAGCTGTATAAAGTCTCCAACTTTCACATTTTAAAGCTGTTTACTTTCAGGTATTTATGGTTAAAATATCTGTTTAAAGCTATGTTCGAATTTTAGATCAAGCTCATTTTGAACCATGAAGGACTATTGCAGTAATGAACATGATCTAAATTTAATACTTATGGCATATCGGATGTTCTCTAAAGGAACGTGTACGCTTCTCAGGTTGTTTCGTCTTTAGTTGTACATAAACTTAAATTAGGTCCTGCTATATATTTTTTTAAATTATGAAAGTCAACAGACATGGCATAACATTGAAAGAAAATGGCGAAGAAATTGTTTCTCAGATAAATTCCAGCTGTTCAGTCTCAGATTTTCTGATAGACATAGGTGAAGATGGAGTTGGAAAAAAGCAACAGTGAACTCCTAACCTTCCACAAGTCATAAAAATGAGGTGCTTTATGTAACAGATGGTGCGGTCACTGCAGGTCTGCTTGTATGCTGCTTGGGTTCGTAGCTCTTGAATGTGCTTGTAAACTCATCTAGAGTTGTTGAGTTGAAGTCCTTCTCCACTGGACAAAGTGAATAGTCATCTTGCAAAGACGTCCTGGTTTGACACCGAGATGAGGTGTTGCCCAGAGTGGTTTGTGCAGGTCTGAGAATCGAGTCACACTCTTGCATCGTGGATGAAATGGTAGGCAGTGATGAGGCTTAATTTCATTGCCATGTGCTTTCTGAACTAATACCTGTGAGGTGACTAGGCAGGTCTCACCTCTCAGAGCTATTCCTGGTTGTTCTGCGCTGATTATTATTAACATACTTCTTATGGCTCATGACAGAGACTTAAAGGAAATGGGTGTTCTTAAATAAATAAAGTAGTAGTACTTGTCTGGGTTTGTAAAGATTTGTTCATACTCTGGCAGACCCTACTAATTCAGCAGAAGGTCAGCTCATGAGAATAGTTCTCTTTTGGGAAAGCTTAAATAGGTTCTGCTAAAAGATCAAGTAGTACCAGCAAGAATTGTTTTGCTGGTATAGCTCTGTCCCAGCGGTTTTCTGAGTGGTATTGTTACGTTGTCTACGAGTTTTGGGTTGTAGAGTACTCTCCGTAACTAATACATGTTTTCTGGCAAAACTTTAATTGCAGAGCAACCCAAAGACTGGAGGAGAAGTGGCTGTTTCTAAAACCTGCTTGATAAAGACAGTCCTGCTTTTGTTCATTTGGGGTCTGTTTTGTCCAAATAACTCTTTTGTAAAAACTGTTCACAAAATCAGGTATAGAATAAGGTAGCTGGTGGACAAACTTCGGCAGCTTTTGCTGCAACAGTATCCTGGCTGTAGGACCCAGTGGAGGTTGCAAATGGGTTGGTGGGAGGTTGCCAGCTGGAAGTTCAGCCAGCTGAAAATAATCTGCTGGGGTGGCCAGGGCAAAGGCACCGATTGTCTCCTGTCCCCTCCGGTGTGACAAGTGGTGATGATGGACTACCAACCACCGCACCATGTGCAGGCACGGCGGAGGCATGGGCACATTGCTTCTGCTGACTGTGCCGTTGCAGCGGTAGCAGCCAAGTCAGAGTCAACTTTGCTGTAGCTGTTTGCTCAGTGAATGCGAATCGGGAGCCCTGACGTTTATAAAGTTGTGGCCAGGGTCATAAAATTTGAATTCACAGTCACATCACTTTGCAGTAGGCCATTGGGTGGATTGAAATGGACTTCATATTTTCCATGGTTAAAATATGCAGCAGGATTCTTAGCGCATAACTGTCTGAATTCGCTGGTTTGGGGATGACTTTAGAGTCAAAAGGAGTTAAGACCTCCTCCTGTACGTGTCTCAGCTATGATTTTGTCAATACACATAACTTCTGTTATCACATCTTTCATATATTTTAGGGCCAAAGCTTCTCACTCAGAATTTATCCAGGTGTTGGACTAAAGTTCCAAGAGACAGACCAAAGATACGAAGTTGAACGCAGAAGATGCCTGGTTCTGTGGCTGGGCTTCTGCAGAAAGTTGTGGAAGCACCACCAGCACTCGCTCCAGAGTTGAGGCTTTTATGCTCTATCTGTCCAGCTGTATTTTATAATTCTCAGAATAATTTATGGCGCATCATGAATCACATCCGGATAGAGGTTTAATGAACAACTTCACTGACGTGATTTTTTTAATTAGAAAAATGGTGCCTTTTTGCAGCTGAAATTACCAGTAAAATTGAGACATCAATGTTTCCTCATGCAGATCTGCAGGTTTAATAAAGCACTGTCAAGATGGGTCTGCACTATCATTGGATTTACCAGGGGCTGCCAGGATCACTGGCCTTTCTTAATAGCATCGATGTGCTTCTTGCCACATTCATGGCTTTACTACTAGCCCATTTTTAATTTGTTTTTTCAGTCCTCCCCATGAGGAATGCAATATGTGCCTATGTCTTGCATGACACACAGACAGTTATGCAGCCTTCTCTTCCAGTCATGTTAAATTTTGCTTAGAAGGAAAAATGCCCTTTTTTGTACAAAATTGAATGGGAAGCCTTTGCAAAATTTTTTCTTTTTATGCAATTAGTATCTTTACAAATTTTGTCTCTTGTGTCAGTTCTGCCTCCGGAGCTTTTTCTATCTAACCAAAGCTCCAAATAAATACATAAGTGAGCTGTGTTCTGGTTGAAACTTTTCCTCACTTGCAAGCAACTGGCTCCTGTCAGAGCAACTGGGAGATCCAGCTGTGGGCTCAGGTTGCTGCCCATACCAGTCTGTCTTTCCAGTGGGCAATACTATTGCAAATCTGTATATTTAAATCGCAAACCTGTACAACAACAAGAAAAGAGAGTTGAGGTGGATGTTTAACAAATCATGCAAGACAATCTAAAAGTTCTGAGTTGAGTTTGCAAATTAGTAATTGGTTAAGTGGTATGTCCCCATGGAGAATTTAATGGATTGCTGCCCGGCCTTGCAGACAAGGTAGCTAAGCCTGCTCTGAAGAAATGCCTGTCATATTTAGCTGGCAAGTTAGGTTATCTCCATCTTGTGGAAAGCAAAACATTTATTGCTTCTTATAGATTTACTATCTGTGCAGAGAAGAGCTGTGTAAATCCTTTTCAGTCTAGAAAAAGGAGCTGGAGACCTAATTTCTTGCGAAGACCCTTTGCTTACACTGTCTATCTTGGAAAATCAGATAGTGGAGTAGTCCGATAAACTCTACAAAGTGAGTAAATAGCCTGGTGAAGATAGTTTAGAAATGAAGTGTTCTTTTGTTTGTTTTTTGGTTGTGTTTTTTTTTTAAGTCTGCATTTGTGGGGAGTGGCTGTCACGGGCCTTGCCGTACCCATCCTTGGAGCACTGTATGCAGTAGGGAGGTGTTATGTGGGTGGCTGACACCTGTGAAGTGTGCATCAGGAGAAGTGACTGGGAGCGAGGTCGAGATTTGGAGGTGAGAGGCACTGCCTAAAGTGCAACTGGAGTGCATGATCTGCTCTCTAGGGATTAAGCAGCTGCTGTAATTTGTGATTTATTGTCTTTGTTTCAACAAGACAAGTGCTGCTGCAGTTCCTCCAGGAAATCTCTCGTAGCAGTAGCTGGGGTGTTGACTGTGGGGTATGGGGCAGTGGAGAAACCCAGAGGTCCTTCCTTACCGCGCAGGGCTCTCAGCTAGCTCTTGGGATCCAAATGTGACGTTTTCTCACTGGAAAGCAAGGGGCCAGATGGGCAGGGCTGGAGCCAGTCCCAAAGACGTGCTTTAGAAACTCGCAGATGTTGAATGTCAGTTGTCTTAACTCCTTCTGATGTGCATTACATGGGACAGGGTGCAGGGGAAATGAGTGTGCCAGATACTGACCTGCACGTGCATTGTCACACCATGAAATATGCTGGTCTCCATGTTCCCGACACCTAGAAAAGGTCACGGCGAAGACTGAACCTTAGTCATCATAGTGGTGGTTATTGTTTAATTTACTGTAAATCGACCACCAGGTCAGTGCCCACGGATGCCTTAGCTCTTTGCACTGAACAGTTACTGCATCCAGCTAAGGTGCCTGCTGTACCTGGTGAAACACTTGTCCGGGGTATGAGTGTTGCAAATGAAGTCTTGTGAGGTCTGAATAGTTGGAAACCTCCTACTTTGCCATATGTCAATTAGTTTACTTTAGAAGCTGAAGCTCAGTTCCTACTCCCTTTCATTTACATCTGTGGATTGGAAAAGGAAGCTCGGTGAAGGCTGTCGGAGAAAGCCGGTGGCCAGTGCCAAAGCCATATTATTGGTTTTCCTATCTCAAAATCAGAAATTTGCATTGCGGTAGCAAGTGACCGGCCGGTATAGCCTCTGGAGAAGAGGTGTTGTGCGCTGTATCACTGACACCTATTTAGAAAGTAACAGCTACTTTCAACGGAAGCCAAAGTTTTAAGGTTTTAAATTTGTTACTAGAAAATAAACGGAAATATCAATGGCTGTGCTCATAGTGGAGTGTCTAAATAAGGATGGATGCAGAGAATGGTCGCTGGTAAAGCCACTGTCCAGCAGCAATAAGGGAGGAGGTAAGGAGTCCCACTGCCTGCCTGCCTGTGGCCTCACAGCCCGTGCATCCCGTCTCCAAGAAGCTTGGACCTCCCCTGTGTTGTCCAGCAGGATCTGCCCCCTGTTGCGTTTCCCAGGCAAGCTCTGCCAGCCCTGGTACACTGCAATATCATCAAACGTGTTATCTCTGCCTTTATGGAGATTTTGTGCCACAGCAGTACTTTCACGTTTGAGGGAATCCTGATCAATTCCTTCTTTTTTTTTTTCTTTTTTTTCTTTTTTAATCCTAGTTTTATATTCACTGAACAAATAAGTCTGAATGTTTGGCACCTGATCTTCCTGTTACTTTCTGCATGTTTTATACTTACATTCTGTCCCTTTTGGCATTTGTTAGAGCAGCTTCCCTTTCCACATCAGCGCTGTTATTTATAAATTACCATTTTATTTGAAATATGCTCTGTATGAAATGGGCCATAGATGATGGTTATGTGGCTTGAGAATAGAGCCCTTAATTTTGATGTGTTTTATAAATAATTGGCCTGATCCTGTGTCCTTTGACTTTAGTGGGAGTTTTCCAACAAGTGTGTTTACGCAAGAACAGCCCGGCTGCCAGCGCAGCGTCAGCGGGCAGCACGCCTTTGCATTCAGCGCAGTTGCATGTCCCCGTGCCAAGAACGAATTTTGCCGATTCAAATTTGCTCAGTTTGTCAACACACAGCTCCCATTGAACTTCGCGGGACGAGAATCATTCTTGGCATGGGGCCGCGGGCAGCCCGGGGAGCGCTGCCCGCACCGGCTGCAGCAGGAGCTGTGCACCAGCGAGAGGAACAGCGCCCAGCCTTGGCTCCCCGGCTTGCGAGGCTCCCCCATCTCCCGTAGCATGTGTTTGCTGTTGTTTGACTAGTGGGAAGAGCCGGTGATAAAAAGAGATTTCCTAGGTCAGTTTTCAAGGCTTTTTTTTTTTTTTTTTTTTTTGGCTGTCTGGATGATTAATGTGAATAGGAAAATACTGTTGACCCATTTAAATGATGTTAGACGACATCCATTGCTCATCTGCATAATGAAATACACACTGAACATTACAGCCTAAGAGCCAGTGAACTACAAAAATAATATTTTACTCATTTAGATTATGAAGTAAAATATAGGACATTAGTACTAATCATAGTATTAAGTTTTAAGCCATGCAAATTGTAATTGTCAGTGAAAAAGAACTATAAGTTGAAAAGGCTATTAGCATTTCAGCTTTAACAGTTAATTTGAGTAATTTTTTTTTTTGCTAGTGTGCAGCTTAGAAAAGTCTATATGCAAAACATTTAATAGTAAGTGCAGGAGTGTTTGTTTTATATCACTATTTAATTTCAATCGTTAAAGAAATGTTAGAAATATTAAATTTGCAGCATTAAAATGTATTAACATTGTATATTACAAAGAGTAAGCTGTAATCTTTACTTGGATAAAATCAAATCTAAAAGTAACCGAGAGATGAAATAATTTTAAGCATTTATTTAAGTACCAAAGCAAAAACTGAAGCCTTTAAAAATACGGATTTCGTCAAACAGAAACATAATTTTCAGCATTTTAAACTAAATACAAATTTTAAAGTACTGAATTTAGGCTGTCAGGTTTCTATGGTTACCTACCTTTCCAGCAGTTTGGCGAGATGTGTAAATAGGCCTATGAGTCACTTGTAATTTTTGTTTGTTTGTTATAGTTGTAATTTTGTGTTCAGTTTGAATCTAATATAGTTCACACCACATGCTTTGGTTTATGTATATTTTAGTGCATATGATTGACAGTGATTGAGAATTTCTTATGGAGTGTTTGTTTTTTTTGTCGTAAGTGATGTATGTTGGTACTTCTGAAAATGTAAACAACTTCTTTCTGTATCACTGTTTGATAAACAGGGACTTCTATGATAAGAAAGAGGTCTTTGTAAGTGTTAAGCAAGAAGATAAGTGAAAGGTATTTAAAAAAAAAAAAAAAATTAAAACAGCTCCCAAACATCATATGGTACTCTTCCAAATCCGATCCGTAATCCTATCATTATAATTCATTCAGTGACCCAAATGTCACATATTTATGAATAAGCTTCCAAGTTATGCATTAATAGCACATATTAATAACTGACAGGTTTAAAAATAAATGTTTTAATAAGGATGCTACAAGTTTTCTGCAGCAAGCTCTCCCCGCCAGCCGCTGATGGGTCTCCCAGCACCCATGGCCAACACGGGGGCTCGATGCCCTACCTCTGCGGGGTGCGAGCAGGTCCGCGGCCACAGAAGTGGGCAGAGCATCTTCTTGAGGGGGAAAAAAAAAAAAAAGAGCTTGTTACCACCACAATAGTTTAGTAGAAACAGCTGTAAACTCTTACACCTCTCTGCTCATATATTTCTGAAGTCTGGGTCACAGGATGTAATTCCCCAGCCTTACACTCTTCACTCTAGCGAAGGACATGTACGTGTTTTCTCAGTAAAGACTTACTGTCCTAATGTAACTTGTGTTCTCATGTAAAAACAGGACAATACAAGTAACAACATTTAATACAAGGCAAGAAACACTGCCAGCTGTCATTTTAACCAAATGAGTAGTAATGTAATCTTATTTTATTAAGGTATTCATCCCAAAATTGCTAGCAGTGTACACTTTTTTTTTTCTAAATTTTGAGATAAGACTGGCTTACGATTCAGGAATCCTCTTGTATCCTTAGAGATTCGACTGCAGGTGTATTGAAAATAATTACTGCAATGGGTCTTATATTTTGTGCGGGGAAAAGACTCCTGACCGCCCATTCTCTTCCTGTGTCTCAAGCTATGCAGAAAATCCTGATACGATGTTCAGGAGCACTCCTAAATTTTCTATGCAAAGATTACTCTTATTTCAGCAGCCTTGCTCATCCACTGAAAGGGTTTCTGTGAGAAACCTTTTTTGTGGTGATTCAGACATATTTTTTCCATTTCAGGTGGAAATTTAAGAAGTTAAAGTAGGATTTATTTTTAACATTTAATACTGTATCAGGCGTGTATATAGGACGTAACCATGCCAGTTGAAAAACAGTTGTTTCACAGAGCACCTGAAAAGATTTTATCCCAGTAGGATTCAATGAATGTTAAAGCTGTGGGTGGGTGCATATTAACAACAAGATTTCGTATTGTGCGTGTGTGTAAAGACTATTTGAATAGCTTATTTTTTTAATCTGAAACAACTGCTATTTTTTTAAACTAACTTGTTCCAACAGTTGTTACTTCCCTACAAAAGCAAAACAAGGAATACAATAACCAGTCTTTCAAGCAAAAGTAATTCTTCTGATCTTTTAAAATACCTAAAGATAGATAGAAAGTGATTGAAAGATGTATTTAAATATGCAAACCTGAGCAGATATGTTTCTCATTCTAATTTATTCACTTTATCATAAAGTAATTTACTCAATACAGGAATGCAGTAACATAAGAGGAATGTTTCTCCTTCTAGTCACAGAAGTTGAAACTTGCCAGATGCTGTGATCTGAAGCCTAAATTCCCCTGATATTAACTGTGTGTGAAACTCTTTAATATTGCTTTGTCCAGCTTTTGTACCTGACTTCTTTCATTTTGCTGTGATACTGCTTTAGGCAAAACTTTCTTTTTATTTTCTCCTTGTGTTATTCTATTGGAGAGAGAAGATGTAGTAGAAGTAACACTAGAATGGAAGGCTCTATTGGAGAACTACAGTGCCCTGTTCCCAAAGTTAAGCCCAGTCCCATTTTCTGTAATAGACAATTAATTTCCTTTCGTATATGAATGAATATCATTCAGATATAGTTAGATTGTGCTCTATATTTTTTAAATCCTATAATAAAATGGGAAAGTGCTGTTTAACGATACCGGAATTTTACTCAATTTATTTCTTATACTGGCTTGGTGTCACTCTGTGTGTGTGTGTATATATATGTACACACAACTGCTCAGTTGGTCGAAGGGGTTTTTAAGGATATAACATTAATTTTTCCTTTTTTTCTTGTTTGTTAAAGTTGCACTGCCGGTTGCTGCTGATAAAAGGTGGCACTGAGCCAGCTTCCTGAAGGAGCTACGGGGAGGGTCATGGCTTGTCATGACCTGGGCACCATTACTTGAATGTTGTTATTATTGGGATGAAGTACCCTTAGGCTGTCATCCTTCCTGTAAATAGAAGAGGTTCTGATTCTCTGTGGTTTCCCAGTTTACCAACTTGTAGAACAGCTATTTTGTTGGCCCTAAGTTTGACTGAATAATGAATTAAAAGAACGGCACTATTCCAGAAGGCACTGATTCATCATTTTAGTGTGCTGGTCTAGACTAAGTTATAATAAGTAAAGCCAAACAAGAATGTATTTCTATATAGTTTATAAATTTACACCCAATTAAAAAACTCATTTGTATTAGCATACAGCAAACAAATTGCCCGGTTCCGCTCTCCATGAAGTAAGGGCAAAATTTTAATTAGCAGGGAGCATAACTGGTCCCGAGGGCCAGACTTGACTTTTTTCAGTGTCATTGAGGAGCCCCAGTGGTGTCGGCAGAGGGGCTGACTCTGCTCCCTTGGAGTTGGTTGGCATTTGGCTGTTGCTTGGCTTTATTGGCTCTTATGAGAGTAACAAGAACAGCAAGCCTGTTGATGCCTTTATTAACTAAACAACTTCTGTTGTTAATCTCCAGTTAATTTCAATAATTAAATAAAACAATGCCAATTAGAATATAATGTTTGCAAGATACTGGTCTGTGTTTTGGTTTATCAGGGTACAGTCATAAGCATGCCGTTGTCAAGGTTTTCACCAATGTGTTGCTGTTGTAACTGAAGTCACATCTATCCTGATGAATATTTCATTTCCCCAATCATGCTATTAAAACCAGAGTGTTTTTACCCTTTCATTTCTGTTTTCTCTTTTCCAGTACCATCATGACAGCTGTGGCTGCGTCCTGTTTACAAATTGCTGCTAGTCACATTTTCAGTAGTCCTTGTGGGTTTTGCTTTCCCCTAATATGGACAATTAGGAGGAAATATTTCTCACGAGCATGGACTTGCTCTTCTCCTTGTAATGACATAGTCCTGCAATCCAGGAAACAGTGCTGCATGGTGTCCATGTCCACGATTTCCTGATGTGGGAAAAAAGTGTGGAAAGCATCTGGAGAGGAGGAGACCCCCTTTACCAGCTTGTTTCCTGTAAGCGAAATTGGAAGACCTTGTCTGTGCAAATAGATTTCAAAATAGGGTCTGCCCTTTGACTGTCTCCATAATTACACAGTGCTCTCTGTATTTTATTTGGCTGCCAGAGCAGTTAACCCCTGGAAGTAAGGGGCTGATGATGGCATGACCAGCATGGGTATGCAGACATGACCATGTGAATACACTCTTGTTTGGAGAAGCCAGTCGTTAAGACCTCGTTACAATATACTTTTACCAAATTCAAAAATTATTACCTGTTGGGTTATGTTGATTAAGATAGGTTATATCCTTAGTGTACAGAAAACGCGGAGGTATTAGTTGCAAAAAAAGAAAAAAAAAAAGAAACAGAAAAAAGTTCTTTCATGGCTTTGATGTAATCAACATCTGTCAACAGAATGAATTTGCTTTTGTTTAATTTCAAGGGCTCTTGTCCTTCTACTTCGCCCAATCAGTTTCAACTTCTGCCTCAGGCATTTCCCCATGTTGTTCTCCCCCCCCCCCCCCCCTTTTTTTTTTCTTTTTTAGCAAATGCACAGGTTATTGCTTGTGAAATGTGAGCTGCTCTTCTGCTACACAGGTTACACAGAGTTGCAGAGAACCTTTAATCTTTCCCATCCTATTTTTGAAGCTTGGGCTTACCTTTGCAACACACGGATTACAAAGTCAGTGTTTTATTAAGACAGAATTACAATTACAAGTAAAGATCTATCAAACCACAGACATTATTTTGGATTGAAAAATGGGAGCATTTAGTAATTAACAGCAAAAAGCTATATATTCTTACCTCGTTGCATTGATTGGGTTCCACATATTATTACCCACAGTGATTTTTAATACCTCACCTTAGACTTTATTCCTCTGAAGTTTCAGCAAAATGAATATTTGCACAAGAAGCAAAATTATATCATATTAAAATGTCCTGACAAGCCAAATTAAAGATTTCTAATGTTTTACCCTCAAATGCATATATACTAAGAAAATCTCCACGATCATTCTTTTTTTTGAGTTTAAAAAATACATATATTAAATCACATATTTAAAAATTAGTTATCTGAACAATGCTTTTGATGTTGTTAATTGTTCATATACATTAAATAAGATTTACTTTATCAAGAGCAAGTTGATTTTATTTCCTAAATCAGCTGGATGTTAATTCTTGTAATCCTAGATAATTTTGTTACTGTGCTTCTGTTGATACTATGACTAAATTATTCTAAAATATGTTAAATTTATTTCTTGGCTCTTTTAAGATGTACGCTTTTATTTATTGTAGCTTAGAACTGTCATGAAATTTATCCTTTGGTAACGTTTTTGCTAATTGCTGAGAAATTTGAAGTCTTTCATAAATAAATACCAAAAAAATGGTTGCGAACAATCACATTTGATGAATCATGTAGATGAGTAGTTTTTTGCATGGCTAGCCCACACCTCATTCATTGAAAACATAGCTGGTAAATTGCTGTAACTGTTAAACAAGAAGCATTAGAAAAGGGCTTACGTGAGAGTTCATTTCTAACATCTCCCTTTAAAAATACTTCTTGACCAGGGGAAAATCACATTTAAATTACTAAAATCAACTTAATTAAGGGTCATTAATAGAGATACACATAAAAAAACTCTTTACTCTGTGAGTGAAATGGGAGCATTTCATTATATAGTGTAGCATGCATGAACAGATAACAATTAAAATAGACCTAGAGTAAAAGGCTAATAAATATAGGGCACATTGTGCTGCAAAATCAGTCACTTAAAATGCTCCCACCCATCATCATACTTGAATTCTGTATTCAGCCCCTTTGGCTGACTTGTTTAAAAGAAAAAGAAAATGTAATTTCCACACAAGATAAATTTATCTGATAATTTGCAAAAGCTCGCAGTGCATATTTATATAATTAATACAAATTCAGGTCTGGAACGTATGCGGAGGAATCCAGCGGCTCCGGCAGGACTTGTGTGCATAGAGATTGCACAGTGAGATTCACTGTCGAGTCAGAGGAGCAGTTGTCTGTAATTTTCTGTGCTCGGTACATCGTATCTGCTGATGTGATTCAGTAACGCTGGTAATAATTCTCCTTATTGCAGCTGATAGTAAATACTCTGTTACTCGTGGCAAGTGACGTAGCCTTGCTGTTGGGGGAGAGAAGAAACGCGTAAAGGGTCAACTTTGCATCCGGGCTGTGCTGGCGTGTTACCAGGCTACCCGGCTTCAAACGCTGGGCTCGCTCCGATGGCTGCAGTTTCCACTGGCAGCTGCACAAATCCTGCATTTATGAACTATCTTACAGTAATTAATATACATAGAAAGGTTGACAAAAAGGATGTGCTTGGGTGCCAGTGTTGCAGAAGTAAATAAGGCACTGAGAAAAGCTTTGATAGGTGTAAGGGATGGGGAGGAGGGAATATCTGAGCCAGACTACATCCAGTTGTTCCTGTCTCCAGTGATTGATGATGTTGCTATATCGAATTAGCTGTGAATATGGGAGCTTAAAAAATAAAAGGAGCCGTGGAGACATTAGGAAGGCCTTCTTAAGGAAGGAAGTGTGTGGATGGAGTCCAGATTTTCATTATAAAACAGTAACTTCATTATATTTTAATGCCATTTTATTTCATTTTATTTTTACTTTGTAGGAGACTGTTTTCTGTTATATTTTTTTTATATTTCAAATAAAGGTTTAGTTGTCCTGTGTTTATAATTCTTGTGATGTATTTTAGGAGTCGTATTATATTATGGTGATGTTTATTTAGTTGTCGCATTTCACCTGTTCAAGTAGTAGATATTTTTGTATGCATCTGGTTTATAATGAGTAGTTAGTAGAGTAACAACAGACTACAGTACCTTATTATCCTGTTATCTTGTGACAACACTTACAGTGTATCTTTGGGAGAATAGAGGTAAAAATTTTATTCCAAATAAAAAGGTGTCCCTTCTAAATGTGCGATAGTCGATAGGCATGCACCCATGAATATAAACTGGTTTAATGTATTTAAGAGTGTGTATTTGGGACATATGGAGTTTTATTGTTGAATAATTGGCAAGCACACTTGCACCTTTTCTTCCCCAATTAAACTTTTACACAGTAGACTTGGTGCCCGGGCAGCATGCCGTGCGTCAAGGAGAGCGTTTGAAATACACGTTCACATATTGATGTCCACGTGGACTTTAACTGACCAAATCAGTGACTGTGTGTTTTCATTATATTTACAATACCTTCAGCTGTGGTAGGAGCAAGGTACTTCCACTGTACTCTGTAAAAGAGCTACCTTAGCTTACGCTGGCGGACGGATTGCTACTTCTGATGGCCCAAAAGTTGCTGCTTCAGCAGATTCTGTGCTTCCAGTTTCCAGAAACGGGTGCAAACCAGCCAGGGAGTTTGTAGGATGCTTTGGGCTCTCTGGATGCGCTTATACGTTGTGCAGGTTAGATGGCCCAGATTTTTTTTTTTTTTTTTAATTGGACAATGATTTTTTTCTTGTGAAGGAGACCCTAGGAAAGCAGTAGATGAGAGGTTGTTGATTAAATGATAATTAAAACACCACCAAACCAATCCACCCTCTGTTAACTGGGCAGCTCTGCTTCCATGGAGACACTTGAAGCAGGTAACTTCCATTGGGGTACCTAGGTTATACTGAGAGCTTGATCTGAGCCTCACTCTCCAACTCTGCCTTATTACTTATAAACACTTTAAAAAAAACGGTAAAAAATTGCTTGCACTGAGTAAAAGTCTCTACAACCTTTCAGGTGTTACACAGATTCAGATACTGGTAACTAAACGTAGCACTGATCAGCATGCAAAGAGACAGTCGGGAACATTTCTAAAGCAAACCCCATGCACCTATTTCACTCATTCTGGGTTTTGGGGCACCAAAAAAGGTGTGTAACTCAAATCTTCTGTATATCATGAAATGCTGTAAAAGGGCTGTCTGTGAAACCAAGTGTGCATGCGGAAGGATAATTTCTGCATCTGGACTTGATAAATGCACCCAAAGGAAAGGAAGGAAGGTGCAATAATAACATACAAGATATGGAAGAAACTCTTCTTCTATTAAAAAAAAAAAAAGGTCATTTTTACATAGTTACAAAATAAGCAATAGATTAATTTCTTAATTTCTGTGATATAAAAATTTTTAGTTACTTCTGTTTAAATGAAAACACTTTCTTTTTACTAAAGAGTAACTATTCATATGGGTTACTTGCCACAAAATATTGTGTTTGTATACGTATGACATTTTTCAGAAGTAGATTAACTATTATGTGAAACTTATGTTTCAAAAAACCCCTCTGTTTAGATTGTAGAATGTACAATGGAATGTAGATTGTAGATGGAAATATGCACTACGTGTAATTGTAGTTTAATTTGTAGTTTAATTGGGCAGTATCAGTAATCCTTTTGAATTTAGTATATTTCCCAAATTTGATGCTAGCATTGTCTTTTCTGATGCATTATTTTGGTTTTGATGTCTCTGACAACCTTTGGGCCTCAATGCCCTTTTCTTTTGCCTTTTTTTGCCTTTTTTTTTCTTTTTTCTTTTTTGAGCGGGGGCAAAATGTGTCATTGCCCAACAACTAAGTTTGAGCAATGAATACTCTTGATGAACTGTCGTCCCAAATTCCCATGTAAATTAAATGGAAATCTGATTTGAATATTCCAAGTCAATGGCAAATTTTAATCCCTTCAATTGCCTTTGGCCAAGATTAAAAATATTTCTTGAAGTTTGTTCTGTTGCCCTGCTAGGCAGGACAAATTGAACCCCATTCCTTGTGTCTTGGCGCAAATGACGAGAGCAACATTAGCTTGGTTATGCTCACATCTGTGACCAATTCTGCAAAAATACAGGTGAAAATATTGTCTGAAATCAACATTAAATCACTTTTTTTCTCACCTTTTTTCTTGCTATTGTCCCTTATTAGCCGTTTCCCTAAGCCTTGAATAGCTTCTAGCCGTGCAAATGGCTACAAGCAGGGTCCAGTTGGAGCATCACTCCTGGCTGTAAGCTTTGGGGAATTTACCCACGCTACTTTTTAATGCATCAAATCAAAATAGATCTGGTATTTTATAAAGCTTCAAAGTATTGTTCGGGGAGGTTGTTTGTTCTCATTGCTTCTCGGTGTTAATGCTCTTTCTTTAACAGTACAAGATTTGAACAATTTGAACTACCCTTGGCTACTACATGATTTCTGTGGTTATTTTACATGATGCCCTTCTTTTTGCATACTTTCCATTTTGTAATGTGGTAGTAGAAAAAAATGGTAACCATTTTTAACTTATCTCTTAACAGGTTTTGTGTCTGGCTGCCATGTAATCATTTCTTCGTGCAGTCGTATCTACCTGCACAGGCAGTCAAGCAATCAACAGCGAAGATGCTTCTTTTTTCAGGGACAAAGAAATACTGCTTATAGTATAGTTTGGCCAACCACAGTTTCTGCAGCTCACCCAGTTCCGAAGGTACTGCAATTTCTATTACCTAATCCGTTCTTCAGTCAGTATAGAGTTCGACTGCAGGCATGATCGAGTGTATTTGTTGTCTGACAGCTGGGGGTTTGGATCACTGTCCTGTTGCTTGGTCTGGTATTTGAAATAGGAGCGCTGGTGAGAGAAGTTTTCAGCTGCCTACCATGTTAAACACAGTGGTGTATCTAGTTATTAGGGAGTTTAAATCGGGGGCTTGTTCAGTTATGGTAGTATAAATGTGGAATATTATAATCATCTGTCAACACTTAACACTTCTGGGTCCAGATTCTCATTTTGGACGATTATAGACCATCCTACCAAAAGTCAGTAGGAATCATTCATGATCATCTGAGTCCTTCTCTGTATAAATCTCTAGCAAGCTAATTATAAAAATGTTTATATTTTGCTGAAGGTTTTGTTAATTGGTTATGTCAGATTTAGGAAGAGAACATACAATACCTGCTGGTAGCTGCTCTGCAACCCTACTGCACATTCTAAACTCGTCTTTACTGTCCCTGAGTGGTTTTTTTCTTGCAACATATACTCTTTTTTTAATCTACTTTAGAGCCAAAAGGAACTTTTTCATGCAATTTTAACACGTGTTCCACTTCTGCTTTCCTTGTTTTTTTTTTTTCTCCCCCCCCCCCCCGTTTAATTACAGCATCCAGATTAACTGTTTAGTAGCTTTCCTTTAGCCAAAAGAAAACCAAAGTACCCTTTCTAAACAGTGCTTTTCAGTATGTGTATTAGTACTTCTTTAAGTTTTACTGTTCATTTGATTATAGATTTCTTATGCAAAATAAAGAGTATTTCCATGGGCCAGAAATACTAAAAAGTTGTTAGACAGGAAAGCAGATAAGGGTGCTGGATGTAGGGCTCTTACACCTAAGAGGCTGTGGAAGCTCTGTGTGCAGGGAGACCATAGGGTTACATGCTTTATATATTTTCAAAGGTTTAAAAATTGTAGAACTTACGAACTTTTCTTTTCTGCATTCAGATGCTTCTTTTAGGATAAAGAGGGAGAAATAAATTGTCATACTGAAAAGTTGTCTTCACAGATCAGAGTTCTCAGACTGTCTAAAAATCAGTCCAATTCTTCAGCTCTGAAAACTTGAGGACAAAGTTATTACTTCATACAGAATATGCCAGAAATCACATAGAAATAACATGGATTTTTTCAAGATGTTGGTGTGAAACTGTATACGTAGACATTTGTATGTACACTGCTTTGGGCTTCTCCGTTAACAGATCTTACAGGTCAGCAGGGTCAGGTCTCAGCAGTTACTAGATAAGTGCCCTCCAAGGGGGAAAGCAAGGGTGCTGCTGTGTATGGAGTTGCTAATCCAGCAAATGATGGGGTTTTTCTCTAAATTAAGTCCCAAACTACTGCAATAGGATATTGTTAGGGTTGATAGGCCATTAATTTGAGTTAAGTGTAAATCTGAAATTCTGTTGACATAAGTCCACTAAAGATAGTTTCACATTTTATCAGAGCAGAAATGAAATACCCGTAGGAGTAACAACAGTCTTCCTATTTAAAGTCCTGCTGGAGGTAATTTGTTGCCCCCCTCTTCTTTACTCCTACACCCTAGTGTTGTATGGTCTTGTTGTGTACAGGCCAAGTGCCCCCTTTGTTTTATGCCTGCCAGCTTGATTCTGTATTTTGTGAAGTCAGTGCAAAACTCGCCCTGTGGCCGGCATGGCAGAGAATCAGCCTGGCTGTGGTGGGCGAAGGGACTCTTCTCCAGCCAGTGAAACAGCCCATGACCCTCCGAGAGAAAGTGCATTTCCATCTCTGCACAAGATGTTACTGTTGTTATTAGTTTGTTGTGTTTATACAAGTGTCGTGAAATTGTTGTGGATTTAAAAAAATCAGAAATGAAATTTCTCCTCTATATGAGGGCTGAGAGCTTTGTGTGCAAAAAATGAAGTTTATTACACTTTCCTTGACACAGTGAATTGGGATGCCCTTGCATAGTGTTGTAGATGGACAAATTTGGGCACAACATATGAACTAGATTAATAAGTAAAAACCTCTAAATTAAAATAAGTTAAATCTTAAGGTTCTTAGTCAAAAAGCAACCTCATGGAAGTTAATAGGAGTTTTGTCTGAACGAGAAACTAAGGATTTGATCAGTTTTATTTTTGAGCCTAATCCTGTATGTTTGTCCCGTCAGTTCCAGATGCCTTTTGTAGAAAATGTGCCTCTTTGCAAAAGAAAATAAAGATTTTTTAAGTCTCTTTCTCACAGTTTTAAAACTTGCGACTGTCTGTGCTGGAAGTCGGCTGCAGTATCTGGGGTTTCAGCACTGGAAGGTTAACAGACTGTATAAGTCAGTAGTAACAGGCAATGTTAAGTTCAAAAGGGCAGTGGAAGAAATACTGAGGCAGCCTTGAGGGTTTGCCCTGATGGCTTAGGAAGGTCGATACTACGACAGAAAGGGCAAGCTGCCATGAAGCAGGAGGCAGTATCTGAGAAAATGATCCCATTGTCATGCTCAGTTTTCTGATCTTCATTTTCAATCCTTTTTCTCCAAGCACATAAAGAAGCCAGACTATGTGACGACAGGCATTGTACCAGACTGGGGAGACGACATCGAAATTAAGAATGAAGATCAGATTCAAGGGCTTCGTCAGGCTTGTCAGTTGGCCCGTCATGTCCTGCTTCTGGCTGGAAAGGGCTTAAAGGTAACAATTACAGAAGTCCCATAACATCTTGTATGTCTTTTATGCTTTCACTTATTTGGTTTTTTTTTTTTTCTACTTTTTCTTTTTTAATTTCCCATAATGTGCATCCAACTTTAAGTTAGATACTGAAAAAAGAAGGATTTATTAACTTTTTATTCAGTCCATGATATGCCTGTTTAATTATTTCTGTATTTTGGACCTATGTAGTACTTAGAATGAGTTGCTGGCTCAGGTGTAATATCTCTCTCTCTGTAATCTCCCTCTGTCCGGATTGTGCCGAATCACATAAGTTTCTCATGAGGCTCATGCTACATTTTTTCCTTTCATTTCATGGCCCGTCTTCCTCGTACATCGTGCTTTCCGGCTCTGCATGTGTGCAAGTCCAAAGGGCTGGGCTGCCTTCTCCGTTCCTGTCCATCCTTCAGCCCCTCACTGTCCCGCGGGGTCCGGCGTGACTCATAGAGCTGCTGTTGGAAAAAAAAGCTGCCAAATTCCACGCAATTTTTCAGAGTGCATTGATAATAAAGCCTCATGGTTTCCAGTAATGTTTCTACAGTATGCTTTTTGGGATACCTCCGAAGTTAAAATGTTCTGGGAGGAGCCTACTACCAGGCTTTGCAGATAGGAGTGCTTTTTTAGCCTTGCCTTGGTATTTCATGTAATAGCATACTGTATAGGGTAAAATGGGTTGAGTAGCTATGAGATGCAGAGATAGATGGGGACTGTAGGTCAGTGCCATTGACTTAAAATGGGAAAAAATTATCAGTTTACCATGCATTTTTCTTTCAGCTATCATCACGCTTACCCAGAGGTTTAATTCTGGAGCTGGGGTGGCCAATAACAAAACTGCCTGAAGCTTTAATCTCGCGCATGTTTAACTTCTTTATGTGCAATTATTTCCCAGTACAGTAAACCATACTCATGTAAAGTTAAGGGCATATACATGTTTCTGAAGGATCAGGGTGCGATGTGGGTTCTGAACGAGACTGGTTTTTCACTAATACTCTTTGGTTGTTATCATGTGTAAAATACATATGTATGCAGCACGGTGTAGCTTATGATGTAGTTCATAGTATGTGCCAAATCATGCATAATAGCAAAATACTACATACAAGTAAGGAATGTTTTGGAGCAAGAAGGTGTGTAAGGTAAGAATTACGTGATCAGGAGCTGTGCACTGGGAAGAGGGAGGTGGCACTTGGAGTTGTGGTGCCAAGACCACTGCCCAGGTCAGCTGCAGACAGGTGGTGAGCTCTGTTTTACACCAGTAAATGTTTGGCCCAGACTGCCCTGATTGGGAGGATGCTCCAAAATCCTCCCTCATCGACAGGGAACATCTTCTGCTTTCCAGCCAGACACTGCGCGTGGCCAGTTTATACCCATTTGTTCTTGTGCCAACACCGCTCTTTAATTTAAACAGCTTCCTGCTTTTCCTTGAGTCTGTCCCCTTCACGCAGTAATAGAGCTATTACAGCTTTCAGTGCGCCAGACTAAACAAACCAGGCTCTTTTAGGCTATTCTCTTAAGGTAAACTCTGCGTTCCTATTTTATCTGAAGAGCCCCATCCCTCCACTTGTTCCTGTTGTCTTGCTGAACCCGCCTTGCACGCAGCCCTCCAAACCAGCCCTCGCCTGTGCTTTAGCTAATGGCAGTAACATCCTGCAGTATACCAAAGATGCATTATAATGCATGGATGCAGAGGGACAAAGTTTGGGCTGAGCGTGGCTTTGATATTACCATTTGTTGCCTGTGGGACTTAAAAATACAATATGGTATTATATATGATAGCATTTCCTGGGTTTGAGTTAAAGATTTGGGAATAAAGCAGCAAATTCTATGACATGGAAGTATTTTGTTAGATACTGTCAGATTGCCCCGTCCCGTATAAGGGATGAGGTGTGCGGTAGGTGCCTCCCCAACATTGCCCAGCTAGCAAAAGCTCCTTTAAAAGTGAAGCAGATACTATTAAAAGCAGAACTTTTCACAGTGTGTAAGCCTGCCATGCAGAGAGCACAGATCTGTCTGCTGGGTGTCCAAAAGCCACATCGAATTCCT